AAAAAAAATCCCCCAAACCTTGGATTTCTAAATAAGTACCATGAACCACATGAAGAACTAATAGGGAAGATTCAAAACCCACTAAACAAGAGGTAAACGAGATCACCAGATAAATAAAAAAAAAGGCTTAAAACAGACTCACCATATTTACAATTCCCATTAAATTACACATAAATAAATATATACAGAGACGTGAACACTGATTCCCTTATATAACTTTGAATCGTGTTGCCAGAGAAAGTTCAAGTTGGTCGCTTTACCTTGAAGAGGAAAAACTTCTACAACTGAAGACATAACATGGAACTTCGTGTATCTGTGTTCAAGTTTATTCACAATACTGATAAAAATGTCATTATCCTTTTTGCTTTCTTTTTAAGTATGGCTACAATCTGAACTGAAGTATGTAAGGGAAGGTGGTGAATCAGTCCCATGAAGCTCATATAATTTTTTTTTTAATTTTACGTTCTTTTTTTAGAAAAAAAAAGTTTTTAAATTTTTTGTTGTCATTGATTTGTTGTTTTTGTTTGTTTGTTTGTTTTTAAAAAAAAAAAGGTTCACAAACTCGACAGAACTTTTCTTTGCTGGCTTCAAGGCCTGTTCTGTTCTCTTAGGCTCCACTTTAGGGCAAAGGGTGTTGGTGCTGACGGGGAAGTTGAGGCTGAGGTGGCAGCGGCTGCCCCACTGACAGTCGAGAGAGCAGTCCCAGAGACTCAGCAGGACCGAAGGGCAGTGGCTGCGGCAGCGGCGGCGGTGGCGGCGGCGACGGCGGCGGCAGCAGCAGCAGCAGCAGCAGTAGCAGCAGCAGAGAGGGTTGCTGATCCCGGAGCTGTCACCCGCCGGGGCAGGGGGTGGGGAGGACCGACTGGGTGGGCGCGCGAGGGCAGGTGAGGCGCGGGAGGGGGCGGGGCGGGAGGAGAGCCTCACTTTCTGTGCTTCTCCTCTTTGTCACTGCTTTTGGCGCTGTTGTCCGTGTGGCTGTTGGGGTTGCTGCTGAGGTACATTTTGTCCATGGCCTTGAGGGCCTCGGTGAGATAGTTCTGCAGGGCCGTGACCGCGGCGCACACAGCCGGGCTGCCGAAGCCGTGCGAGATGAGGTTGAAGTGGGTCAAGCAGCTCTGGATGCCGGGCTCCAGGATGGGGTTGGGCCGCGAGTTCCCCAGGGGAGATCGGTCCTGAGCCAGCAGGTCGGTGAACTCTTTGCATATCTGTCTGCAGCACAAGTGGAGCAGAGAGAGACAGACATGAGGTCCCCTTTGGGCAGCAGCGGCAGCAGAGAGAACCTCTCTCCCTGCAGTTACCTCTGCCTGGATTCGGCGGGCACCTGACATGACCCAAGGCCACAGAGACAGACAGACTGTGTGGCCACACGCTGGGAGATCCAATCACCTCTCAGTGTCCGCTGAATCATCTCTCCTTTTTTAAATGCATGGCCTTCCTACTTTCACAATTGACTCTCTCCCCACCCCCCTTCTCTCTCTCTCTCTCTCTCTCTCTCTCTCTCTCTCTCTCTCTCTCTCTCACACACACACACCCCTCAAAGATGCCAAACTTCTATCCCCACGTTTCTCCCTTACACCAAACATCCTAAACACAGGGAAATACTTCACACATTGGAAGGGAAAGAAAGAAAAGGGAAATAGACCGGAAGTGAGAAACAAGCATCTCCCCAATACCATGCAGCCATTAGCTTTCCTACTCAAAATATCACAGAGACCCTCTTCCCAGCTCCTCTAGACAGACCTCAGCAGCAGTTTGTGGAATGGAGTTTCCACTTATTCACCTTCAAATCAAATTAGGTTGAATTTGGACAGAAATGCAAAACTTTGCTTAGGATTATTTTGCCTTTAAAAAAAAGGCACAAAAAATCTGGAGTTGGAGATAAGTCAAGATAGTGTTTGAGAAGAAGAAATAGACATTTCAATTTCCCATTCCTCCTCTTTTCTCACACACCTCAAAATACAAATTCTTTAGGGAAATTGTGAATATGGATGTGCTTAGGAAGCTAAGGGAAAAAGAAAAGTTGAAATTTCAGAAAAGGTTTTGAAAAGTCACAAATACAGGCAGATGAGGCCTGCACACAGGAAGCTGTGTCCCTGAATCCGGAAGCAAGGACTAGCTGGGACCTTCCTTGGAGGGCAGCAGCCTGGCCTGGGGAGGTGGGGGGGGAGAGGAGGAAGAGTGGGGACCATTGGCTGGCTCCCCATTTCAAGGCCAGCTGATGTCCCCAGGCCAGAAACAGAGTCCCACCCAAGGCCTCAGCTTCTGCCCTCTGGTTCCATGACCTCCTGTGACATCGACTTTGATAATTAAGGGCTTCCAAACAAGCCTTTTAATTTCCAGAAAACATATCAAAACAGTCATTTTCTTTTCACACACCACCTGGAGAAGCCTATTCAGCCCAGGCACCGATGGGAATATAACTTGGGCCATTTTGAAACCTATTTGACATCTTGCCTGTAGGCTAAAACTTATGTGGGGTGTGTGTGTGTGTGTGTGTGTGTGTGGGTGTGTGTGGCACCTTCAAGGAGGGAGAAATAGAATAAGGGATTAGGGTTAAAACTAGGACAGCTTCTGGCTTGCACATTTTGCAGGCCACTGCTTAATCTTTGCCCTTGGAGAACATATTGATACGAGATGAAAACTGATAGAGGCAAGCAAGTCTGTTACCTCTTTGAGGATTTGATTCTTGTCTTTCTGAAACACTGACACAAATCTACCCTCAGCTTCAATTAAACTCCTCCTACACTGCATCCCCATACACATTAATTAAAAAAAAGAGAGAGAAGGTGGAACAGATGAGAGGAAAAAGATGGGAGCACACTAACAATCCCAGCTGTATTTCCCTTTTAATGAAGATTATGATTTACTTTATTATTATTTTTTTAAGAGACAGGGTTTCGCTCTGTTGCCCAGGCTGGTCTCAAACTCCTGGATTCAAGTGATCCTCCAGTCTCAGCCTCCAGAGTAGCTGGGACTGCAGGCGCACTCCACTTTGCCCAACATAGATTACGGTATATAAAACTTTGTTGTAACTTCAATATTTGCAGCAACAAAGCTGATTCACACAAAGGGAAAAGAGGAGAAAAGGAAGAGCAAAAATGATGATTTTTGTTTCTCTTGACAATGAGACGCCAGAGAGACCCCGCAGAGGTAAATGCCTTACTTTGTAGCCAGAAGCATGTTTTTTCTTGTCACTTGCTCATTGGGATCGGAATGTTGTCGGTTGAGAAATTCAGCTACTGCTTTGGCAGGAAATTCGGTTTCACACACGTACCCAAAGTCCCTGGCTAGGTGGACAGCTTCTCCTGGCAAGAGGTGAGAGCAGGGAGCCAGTGCAAGAGAATGAAGACTGGGAATCCAAACCTCCTCCCCATTCCCTCATTTCCTTAACCCAGATGTTGAAGGAAACACAAACTACTTGTTTTCTCATTTCATGCATTTTATTTCCTTCTCTGGAGGATCTGGTGGATGCATTTATCAGGAAAATAAACCACTTGTTTTAGAAGGCCGAGATCACTTGAAAATGTAAATCCCATCCACCAACATCCAGTCTCATCCCCTACCCTGAATGACATTTTCCCCAATTTTTTAAAAATGTTTCTTGTATTCCAAACTCACACCTATCAACACATTCATAAATGATATTCATAATTACTCCTTGAGCTTTTCTGCAGGGGAACAACTGAGGGTTTACATTTTAACTTGATCACATATAATTATCTGTTCATCCAAACCGATTAACCAAGAGGATTTGAGGGTCACTCCACTGAGTCTGTCTGTGTTGTTGATTTTCGAATCTTTGGTTTTAATTTCCTGAACCAGTTGGTTTTTACTGCAGGGCTTCCTGCCATTAGCTCCAGCTCCGGAAGAACGCATGCGCCAATTAGAGCATCAAAGCCCTCTCCGCAGAGCTTGTTTCCATAAAATGGAGCGGATCACAAACAATAACAGTTCTCCAGAAACTGCCTCCCTGCTACAGCACTCAACCCTCAAACCCAGGCTAACTCTCACGCTACACCCTAAGCCACCACTACCACTTTCTTGGCGTATAATTCTTTTGGGGTATGAATAGTGAGCGCTCCCTGTACTGTTATTATTTTTAATATAATGCCACTGTAGTTGAGTTTCTGGCACAGAACAATTGCTGATTTTTTAAACAATTATTATTATCATCTTCGACATCATTAACAAATGGAATTCATGGGATTCCTCCTCAAATACATGATTGTAAACTTTTCTTTAGTAATTTACAAAGCTAGAACTTGAATTCAAGTGTAATATATCTCCTCAAATACAAGATATAAATAAGATAAAATGCCTTCTTTAAATATAAATGCTAGTTTTAAAATCTGCCCTGTACTTTCAAATGCCTTTTTTTTTCTATCAGCATGAGACATTTACAATGGGACACAAAGAAAAACACAAGAGAGCTATCCATTCATTTCAAACTTAAGCCAGTTTTGTATCAGAAAAACTTAGGAATCTAGAGGAAGTAGGAATGTGAGTGGATTCTGGAGACAGTTTATCTAGAGCAGGGAGTGAGGACAAGGTTTGGCCTTTTGCTTTGAGGAGCTTGGAAGTGTGTATGTGTGTTAAAAACTGCCATGAGAAACTTTTTGCAATGCTTATATTTCTTTTTTCTTTCCATATTATCCAAACAATCCAAAGTCAAAAATTGCTCACTTTTCTTCCTCTCCAGGAGAGAAGCACAACTGAACATGAGATAAGGAAGCATACATTTGGAAAACAAAACCCAAAAAGGGCATATAACCCTGAGCTTTCAGGATGGTCTTAAATCAGGATGCAGGTCAAAGATTCCCAAATTAATTCAGGAAGTAATGGTCACGCATTTCTCAAACGCAGATGTCAGAATAACTTAAGTGATTTACTGCTGAGCTCTTTAAAGGAGACAGGAACTTGGACAATGTGCAGTTCTTAAATTTGTGCATTGTTGAGGTCAGAATTGGACTGAGGAGGTGTAATTTTGTGGTAGAGGGGAAGAAGGAAGAAGAACAGAAATATACGCAAACAGCTTTTTTTTTGCCATGAAAGAATTCCCTTTACTTCCGGCTATAATCTCTGGAAAGATGAAACTGCCCAATTGATACACAATACAACCAAACATCTAGCCACTAAATATTACTCCTTTTCCCAGAAGGCAGTTCCCTTCTAGTTAGCAAATGGATTCGCTTACCCTCCACTAGTGATGTGAGCAAGGTAACGTTGGCAGCTTTACGTCTCCCTGCCGGCAGATTTAATCCTATTTTGTCCAGTTTTTCTCTTAAAGATCTTCCTCCATTTTTAGACTTCGCCCTGTTTCACAAATATATTCGAGAAAGGGATTTAGAAAACATTGGGTTGCTCTGCATCACATTTTTAAAAAAAATCATTTTGAAAGCTTCCTAAAATGGGCTTTTAAAAATACAGGATAGCCCCAAGACATTTAAAGGAAGGAACCTAGGAAGAAATGGTACAGAAAGATCATAGGAGATAAATGCTTGTTAAACTGTAAAGCACTCCCCCCTTCAGCTATTATTGCAACTTTTGTGGCAGGTTGAAAGGTTTTGATTTCCCAACTCTCTAAAGAAGAACCACAAACAAACAAACACAGCTCTGATCTCTAGGGTTTGAGGTATTCTTGAGTTCAACTGATTATTGTATATTTTCCCTGCTGTTACAATCACACAAATCCCAATGGGGTCTTTAAATTGTCTTTGCAAGATCGGCTGTTAGGTTGTTCAGAGTAACCAAAGTTATCATCACTCTCACATTTCTTGCTCTGGCTTTAGTTCCAATGGGAAATTCATTTCACCAACTGTTTACATGCCATGTCACCAGCCTAACTGGAAATGTCAAAGGCTGATATCAGCCTTCAAAAATTTCACTGATTTCAGAGACAATGGAGGCGGTTCTAAACAGATGTCTAAATAGACTCCAATAATCAGAAAGTGGTTAAGATAAATTGTTTAAATAAAACAGCAAATTAATTAATTTCAGATTTTATTCCCTACTCAAGTGCTCTTTAATTGTGTGGATTAGATTATACTCCCCTAGGTAAACAGTCTCCAATATTGGGGATGGGGGAAGGGGAGGAAAAAGCAGAGGGCAGAGAAAAGATCTGTGTCAGTGAAAGATTACAAAGGGAGAGCAGAAATGACTGTGAAGGAGGAAGATTAAGATGGTTGATGTTAAAACCTTCCAAAAAATGATCTTTATAGGAGTTGTATGGGGTGTACCTAGCAGAGTGGAACTGTTGGTGCATAAATAAATAGATAAATGAATAAAAGGAAAAACAATGAAGTTCTTGGTTTTATTTAAGGAGAAAGAGGAAAAGAAGAAGAAACATATCATCCGGGTAAGTTCAACAGAAGCCCCACAACTCACAATGAGTGGAATCCTAGGAGGCGGAAGCCCACAGCAGGCAGAAACCTGCCCTGAGGGAAGGTGCTTTACCTTGCTGACCCGTATAAAATCTTATCTACTAAATGAATCATTCAGACCTTGCAGGGATAAGGTAAGAATTCTTGGCTAGGTATGTAACAGATGCATTCATTGGTAGCGACTACATAATGCACGTAAACGTGCCCGCGCCCAGCCTAGCACACATCAGGGGCCCAAATGGTAAACTGGAAACATCAAATGCGAGCGCCTCCAGCATGGGGGTCTTGAGGTGACAGTGACTAAGGGGCACGGCGTGCGAACTCAAAAAGAAACCATTCTCTTCCTTTGGTTTAAAGCCATTCGACTAAGAACCTACACAAGGAACGGCCAGTTGCTGCCAGAGACCCTACACAGAGGTAAGGCAAAGCGAAGAGCCTGAGAGGAGCTTTTCCTAGGCTTGCAAGGTGCGCGCAGAGAGAAAAGGCGGCTGCACGGCGCCCCATGGCTGCCACCGCCGGGACTGAGCCCGCGGCGGAGCGAGCTGCGCGTGCGCGCGGAGGGGGCGCGAAGGACGCGGCAAGCGCACGGCCGCGGACAGAGCGCGCACCAGAAATCCGGAGCGCGCGGAAAGGCGTCGGAGAGCGCAGGCGCGCGCCACCTCGCCCCGCCCCCAGATTCCACCCACTCAGCTCTACGCTCTTCTCCCCGCCTCTTTCTTTTCCCGCGAAGGAAGGGCCGCGGCGCGACGCTTGTTTGCTCTGCGGCCGCCGCCGCCGCCCCGGCGCAGGCGCAATGTGTCCCCCGGCCGCGGGGCGGGGCGGGCGGGGCCGTGCCGGGCCTCACCTCCGGAGCACTCCGCCCAGCAACGACGCGTTGAGACACTCGGGTGGTGAGAGGCGCCGCTGCACTTCCGCCACCGTGACCTTGTACTTCGAGGTGGAGCTGAGGAGCGAGAGGCGACCCGGAACTGAACAGAAGACTTCGTTGGGGTTCACTACGCCGCCGAAGAGGTTGTCCTTGTTAATAGGGATGGCGGAGACGGCATTGCTGTTGGACTTGGACAGGGACACGGGGCCTGCGGAGACAGACGGGGAGGCTGCGTGTGGGCGTCAAGGATCCCCCCGAGTCCTACCCTACCTCGGCCCTTGCCCCAGGGCCGGCTCCAAGGCTTGGGCCGCAGCTGCCGCTTTTCTTCCCGTCCAGCTCTGAAATTCTGTAGCTTTTTCTCGCACGTTCTAACTTCCCTTCTAGTCCGTGCTCTACTCCCTCCCTCGGAATCGAGCCTCTGCCTCACCCGGCGGCGAGGAGGCGGCCCGCCCCGCCCCCAGCCAGGCCGGCCTGCGTTTCTGCCTTGACCCTTTCCTCTTCGCCAAGGATGCTGTCTAGAGATGGGTGATAAAATTGTGACCCCTTTGACTCTGAGCATCCGAGCGAAGTGGGCCCCAGGCAGGATGCAGGAGCACGGGTTTAGTGTGCAGAGGAGGGGGTTACATTTGCAGAGCGAGAGCAAGTTATGTGTACTTCGGGGGTTTTGCGGGGTGAGACGTTTAGTGTTGGGAAAAATTGCTTCAAAGACCTATTATTAAAATCAGTCAACAGTTTAGATGGCTAAAGCAGCTTGTAAATGAGCCTTTCAGTTGTGGCACCAAGCTGGGAAGTGGCGGATTCTGTTGTGGATTCACATCGCACATGTCCCATCTTGATAAATAGGGCCTTTCCTATGTTCAATTTTGAAAAAGACTCAGTTTCGGAGATCCATTCCAAGCTCAGTTTTGAACTGGGGGTTGGGGAATGAGGAACAGGCCTACTGTAGAATACAGCAATGTGCCCTTTTGTTGAGCAAATACTTAATGGTCTCTCTCCGCTTAGGCGCCTTCTTTGGGAAGGGGGGATGGATATATTCTTCCTAGTTAAAACCCTAAGCTCTTTATTGTTGGACCCACCATTGTTAGAAAAAAATTCAAGACCAGCAGAAAGTATACTAATGCCTTGCATTTCTCAACACCAATGTAATTCAGAGGCATTCACAACCCATTTAAGTACAGTATGCATTTGTATTTTAAAATTCCACTTGGAGAGACATATAATATGCACACATTCTCATCACAGGCTCCTCATGCGTTCTTTAATGGGGATATTCTAGACGTGAGGAAGTGGGGGGCTCTAGGTTTTGGATAGATGACTTGTGACATTAATAGCTCTGGGGAGGCTAATAGAGACAATAGGAGTTAAACGAACTCTTGAGAGATTACTAATAAAAGAGCCAATTATCATGTCGACTTGGAAAGAGCATCTCTTAAGATTTATCCCTTGCACATCTAATTTGACGTGACAAAGTCTTCACAGATGCAAAAATGAAACTTTAAACTAGCTAACAATATACTGATTGGGGTTAGAAATGAGAACAGTTTTATATAGCATCGTCCTCTGGTGGTGCCTAGGATCCTGAAATGTAACATCGCCACCATAACCAAAAAAAAAAAAGCCGCTACCAGGAGTGAATAGCAATTAATTCAGTAAACTTTATTTCTACTCGCTAAACAGAATACAAATTACGAATCCATCCAAATCACTTGACACTTTTCTAACAATTTCTGCTCTGAACAAGTATGCTAATAATCCTGATATCTTCATGATGCTAATTTTAACCAAAGTTAAATTTTTGTTAACCTAATTCACAAAGTTTTGAAACCCTTAAACTGAAACAGCTAACAAGAAACTAAATTGAAGAACATGAAAGGGTTTTTTCCTCTGATAAAGAGTGCCTTTATCATCTGTCCCTATATTAATATTATATTATTTGTACTATTTTAGTATTATATACTTCTTAACCCTCATGGCCTTAACTCCACTTCACACAATGGATTAACTAAATCTGTTTCAAAATTGAAATGCTGTTTCCAAATCAGCTCAACTATTGCACATTTCATGTGTTTGTCCAAATATCATTAAACTAAATTAAGTGGTCAAATCATGAGTCAGAACAAAGCTAGCCTATTGCCATTACCAACATACTGAAAGCCCGATTATTTAAGCATTGCTATTCTATGCCTATCTATTTGCTAATTCTGAGCCTTTAGGAAATCCTATTTGAAAAAAATAAATACAGCTCTGCAAGTTCTTTTTAAATAGCACTCTGCCTGTAAGGACATGCTTGGAATGCAGAAGGAAATGGCTTACCTTTCTTAATTACAGTTTGATCTGGGATGTTAATACCCGGGTCTTCTACATGCTGCAACAAAAGGATACACATGGATGTAAGTGTATAATCAAAACAAAAGGAAATGAATATTCCCTGCAAGATGGGGGGAGGGAAAGGCGTAGAATTGAAATTCCCCCTCCTGTATGATGACATTTATACATAAACATCTCTTCTTGGCTTATTGGAATTTGGGGCTTTGCAACTCAAGAGGTTTCACTGAACATCCATGTCCAATTTCTCCTGCCCCCAGCAAATAATCTATGTTTGAAGGGGGAGGGGTGGGGAATACAACTTTCTTTGGAAATTAAATCAAGTTTAGGAGCACCTAATCTTTCTCACAGTCAGATCAACATTTAGAAATGCACCTAGCTTTAGTTTGGTGCCTCAATGGCTTTGGACTTCAGCAATTTAGGTGTTCAGGCAGCAAAAGCCAGAGAAACACAATAGAAATGACAGGGGCGGGAGTAATAGGAGGGTGTTGGAAAACGTTTAGGTGGCATAATAAGGAGCAAACGCATATACACACACCTTTACTTATGGAAATCTCCAAATAAATTTTTTAAAAGACTGCTGCCTAAGCCGGCAGGAATATGAAAATGATCAAAAACAAAAAACCTCTGAGGTTGCTTTCCTGTTGTCCAGCAGCAGGTTTGTAGGTGTGGGTTGTTTTTCCTTTTTTTTTTTCTTTTACAGATGGATGGGTATACGTGCACACTAGAGTCAAACGTGATTAGAAAGTAAAATGAAATCATGTTTTCTAATGCAGAAACTGACAGGCAATATAATGTCTGGCTGTGTTTACAAATTAGCACCAGGGCTGCTGAGATAGAAGATTTTGCAATCGTTACCAAACACAGGCATTACCATTTAAAAAACTATTACTTCCTTCTCTAGTCTTTGTCCAACAATAATACTGATCTGAACATTTTCCATTCTGTCTTGGATTTATGCTCCTGTTAATTGTGCCTGATCGCAATGATTCCGGGTGGATGGTACTAAGTTGCTTTATTACAGGTTTTATTATACTCAATGCTCTCATTTGTAACTTGCCTAAAGTGCTTCAGGATTTAAGTATAATTAAATTGAGAAATGTTCAGAAATGACTACTGCTGCAGTTCTTGTGTTTTAACTATATGGGGAAATATGATCCCTTTATGCATGCACCCTAAACCCATAAAGTAAATGTAGTGTGGCATAATACTTTTATTTGTGTTATTTCTAGACCTTGTCCATACAGGGAAGACTGTTAAGTTTAAAACCCTACTGAGATATTAATGATTAAATAATTTTCACTATTGATTTGATTTTTTTAAATATTTAGAAGTCATTCTTATTGAAGGTTAACTGTTGCAGCAATGGAAAAAAATGAAAACAACCTTTTTCTTGACCCAAATTCCTTTGAAAGAATTTTTTTTTCTTAAAAGGTGGGGGAGGGAGAGGGAAGAGCAGCACTGAATTTTCTTGTTTTTATTTAATCTTTTGGTGGATTTTTCCTACTGACCAATTTCACCACAGAGTGATTATACAGGTGTTAAGAATTCACACCAGCCACCTTGGAATTTTTGCAAAGCAGAGCAATTCTAATTCACTGTAGTTCAAGAAGCTTGCAACATTATTTTGCAATTGAATTATTTCCAATGGACAGGCAAAGAAAACAATTCAGAGACTCTTTGGGAAAGGGAACTAAAATGATCATAACTTCCAGTTCTTTTTTAAATTGCTCTGTTACAAATTATTGCTCCTCTCATTTTATTTCCAAAAAATTCACTATCGGTTTATAAGGCCATGTAAGTGTGATGGAGCTCTCTCTCTCACACAAACTCACACACACACACATCTTACTAAACCTTATACTGCTTACTAGCAACCTTACTAAACCTACTTTCCTACTTTCCATGCAAGGGCTGCTAAACAGAACCAACAAATTTCAGTGATTAACTGGGCTAAATGAGAGATGTGATAAATTTTCTATTTTCCTATGGAACTTAAAGTTTTAAATTCACCGAGCAAGCAGGTAAGTTCATCTGACCATTTTCCTTACAATCTCATGTAGTAATCATTAAACTGTCAACGGACATACTGCTGCAATATTTGATGCAGTAATTTGAAATAGCATTTTAACAAAAATCACATCCAGATACATTTCCTCTCCGAAGAAAAGCAGCTTTAACAGAAGCCTTTACAGCTTTAATAAAATTATTGGCTTGCTCTAATTCCATTTCAGTAAGGTTGTGAGGAAACCATAAATACATAGAATTGAAGCAGAGATGCCGGTTTAAGTTTGATTTCAGAAAGTGTTTTCAAATTATCAATAGCCTGGTTTGCATTGTAAATAGTAAATGTGCTAATGCCATGCTTATTTAGAAATCATTTTAAACTGCATTTATTGATAACTGAATTAGAACTCGACATATTACCCAACAGTCTCAAAACAATTTAATATGGGGTGTAGCAGGTTCTGATAGGCTTTGGGAACCCAGCTAATGATTTATGAGGTCACCACTCAGCACCCCTAGGAAGAGAAGAAGGCTGCATTTTAATGTCCCCCTGCTTGGATTTGCTACTTACTTTAATCATAATAGGGTGTATGCATAACTTTTAGATTTCACTGGTGCTTATAAAATCTGGTTGAAATGATCTTCTTAGTATGTCTTTTACACTTTCTTTTACATTTCGAGGGCATTTAATGAGCTCTTTTGGTTGAATTTAACATCTTTCCCAGAAGGAGAAATCCCCACGCCAGACTCAGCGGTAGAATTAGATCCTCTCGCAATTGAAACAGTTTACTGTCGTTGAGAGGGGAAGATATTGTTAATAGTGACATTCGTCTGATTTATTTCTGTGTTGGTGGAAATGGTAATGCAGGCATTGTTTGAGGGAGCTCCAGGAACCATTGTTTTGGAGGCAGGGCTCGAAGCTACTTTTTTAATTTCTTAATTTGGTCGTCTATGTGACTCCTCAAAACGCCCCCCCCCATAAAATAAAATGTTTTTAAAAGAAGGTATCATTGGGCAAAACCCAGGCCCGCCGGCCGTAAGTTTCCGATCTCTTCTCTGCGGGTAGGTGAGCAGCGTTCCCTCCCACACGGCCCGCCGGCCTCTTACCGGGACATCCTCGATGGCGTGAGGTAAGGAGTGGATCGGGAGGTCTCCGAGTCCTGAGCCAAGCCCGTGTGGGCCGTGCAGGAGGTCCTCGTGCCGCCGGTAGTCCCTGCGAGGATCCAGGCCCGACAGCTGGTGGGGCAGCCCCCGGTGCGTGTGCAGGAGCCCAGACTCCTGGCTCTGCCTCTGGCCGGGCCAGCCTGGATGCTGCGGCTGCGGCTGGGCATGCAGGGGGTTCAGGCTGTAGGGGTCGTTGACGTGGGAGTAAGGATCTTGCGACTGGGGGTAGATAGGCTGATAGGGTGGGGGGAAGTAGGGGGGCTGGAAGTCTGCATTGGGGGTGTGGGACAGCGGCGGGGCGCTCGTGTAGGGAGATTGACCTACAGTGCCCAGCTGGGGCAACCGCGCCGTCCCGTTGCTGGTGCCGTCGTGACGGTCCTAGAGGAGCGAGAGGAAGGGGAAAGAGCAAGACATCAGGCGTCGAGTTACAGCTCCACGTAAAATCCACTCGGCAAGCCTGCGTCGGAAATCGCCCGCTCCCGCCGTCAGGCCGCCGAAAAAAAACCAGTTCTAAGTTGTTCATTTCAGAAAATATCCCAGAGGTGAAACAGGCCCTTCTAAAAACGCAGAGGAATTAGATTGTGTAAACGTAGGGGCACAAGAGATTTTCCCTAGGCGTTTCTTTCAAAGGGGGGAAAAGATAGAAAAAGGTCTGGAATACAGCCGGTTAAACTGCGGCGTGAAACCTCTCGTAAGCCAAATGAAAGTTCCTTAAATATTGAACAGCAGAAGCGGCCTTTTCTTTTCCCCTGGACTGGAACCTGTCTGCCACTGCGTTATTGTTTACCTTCTTTCATTTATTTGGAGGGAAAAAATCATAAACGTTCTTCAAAGACTATTACCGTTTCATGACTATTTAAATAAAAACATATTTCGCAGAGGGGCTGTAACGAAAACGCACGTTTAAATTACCAGCTTAAAGAAGGTTTTAACTGCAGGATCGGGGGTCTGTCTTTTTCGCTTCCTCAGTTAAGAGCCTTTTTCTCGACAGAGTAGATTTAGGATATGGATGAGAAGAGGGGGACATCAAGTCAAGGTTTAAAATATAAAGATTCAGCCTCACTGGGTTTAAAAGAGAAAGGTGCACCCCGGGGCGGAGGCCCCCGCCCCTTTCACCCCAGCCCCAAAGGGCAGAAGAAACGCCTGACTTTGTGTTCCTCTATTGCAATTCGCTTGCAAAACAAGCGAACTGAGTTGATTTCAGGGAATGCGAACCTTCGGAGGTTCAGCCGCAGGCCCCAAGGGTAGGGGACACACCGGGCTACGCTTTTCCTGCAGACAGATTAAGCATCAAATGTTGAGAACATCTCGGGAACAAGTGAAGACTCAAGGAAATAAAGATGAACGCGGCGAGAAACACGCCTTGGGAAGCAGCGGCGAGGTAGGTCTGCGTGCGCCGGGAGGGCGAGCGGGGACTGGGGGTGGCAAGGCATTGGGTTTAGGGATGGAAAAGAGCGAGATAAAGGAGGAAAGGGGGGAAATGCAAAGGGAGGGGGTGTCCTGAAGGAAACCTGGGCGTGAAACCCGAAGTCTCAGGCAGCTCCGCGGCACCAGGTTTCCAGAACAGAATTCCTAAGGAAACAGGGATGGGGGTGGGGGTGGGACTCACCATAGCTGAAAAACTGTGAACTAACATCTGCGAAGAGTCTGGGGTAACGAGTCAGGGTGGAAAAAAACAAGCAAGCCTGGAGCGCCCGGCTGCCCCGCCGCCCGAGCGCGCCCCACACAAAAGGCGCCGAGAGCCCCGCGCCACCCAGGACTCCGGTCACGGCGCCGACGCTCCCCCGAGAGCGGGAGCCCGGCTCGGATCCATCCGAACTTGAACCGCCGATTCGCGCGGCGCCTTCAGCTGGTCGAGCCCACGGTCTCTATCCTGCCGTGACTGGTTATGATTCAAAGTTCTTTAAAAAATGAAGAACCCCAAAAAAGGAAAAAGTGGTGTCAGTGTGTGTGTGTGTGTGCGTGTTCCTTAATCCGTGTCTCCCCCTCTTTCCTTAGCGGCGGCTTCGCTCGAGCTTCTAATAACCGCGCCGGGCAGCGTTCCTGGAGCCTCCTAATAGCAGATATTCATGACTATTAATATTACACGAATACTTAATAAGGGAAGAATGCCTGGAAATCGAGCGTGAAGCGGAGAGGCAACTCGCGCCGGAGCCGGCTCTCAATGCAGTCCATTGACGGGAGTCTCAGTGTAGCAAATCGGAGGTGGGGAGCGGGAGCGCCAGAGACAAAAAGCGGGCGAGAGAGGGAGCGGGCGAGCGCGCGGGGGGCCGCGGCGCGGCGTCTGGCGAATCACAGGGAAGGGGCAACATTTTAAAAGGTTGCAGGGCATGCAAAAGTGAAAGAGAAAGAGGGAGAGAGGGAGACCGAGGGAGAGAGCGCAGAGAGGGAGAATGTGCCTGCGTGCGTGTGTGAGAAAGAAAGTGTGGGCGAGGGAGAGGAGCCGGGAGTGGGGAGAGGGGAGGGAGGAAGGAGGGAGAGCCCGGGAGGAGGAAGGGAGGGAGGGAGGGAGGGAGGAAGGGAGGGGGAGGAGGAGGGGGCCGAGCCGGCGCGCAGGGAGGGGGAGGCCGCGGGGGAGGAGGAAGGGGAGAGGAAGCGAGCGCGGACAATCAGACCTAAAAGGCTGGGGCAGACCTCGGGATGCGGCGGGGGTCGTGCGTAGCGGGCAGGAGCTGCTGGGGACCGCGTCTGCACGTTCATCCGGCTCTCCGCGCGGGAGGCGCGTCCCGGCCCTCTCCGGCCGCGGGCTCCTCCGCTCCGCAGCCGGGCCTGGGACTCGGGACTCGGCTGCCCGCTGCCGCGCGGCTCCTCCATGACCCGGCGCCCCGCCCGGGACCGGCCCGCCCGCTCCGCTGGCCCTCTCCTCGCCCTCCTCTTGAGCTTCCCTCGGACACTGGGGCCGTGCGCTCCGCGGCCGCTGCTGCTCTGCCCTCCGCTCTCCCGGGCGGGGAATCCAGGAGAGGGAGCCGGGATGCGGCCCGGGCGCGCACAGACGCGAGGCGGCCCAACCCGGGCGCCGCTGGCACGGGCTCCCCGCTGCCCGCACAAACCCGTCCGACTGGCTGAGCCACTCCCGCCCGACGCCTCCCCAGATGACACGGCTAGCTCTCCCGGCGCGCCGCCGCTGCCAGTCTGCCCGCCGGGTTGTCAGAACAAGCGGCTCCTCGCCTCCTGCGTGTCCCTGCAGAGCCCGGGCACAATTAGACTGCCCCAAGCCAGCTCGGAAACCCGAAATCCCCGCTCGGCCGCTTGCCAGCCACGGCCGCCAAAGTTGTTGAAACAGCCTTGACTTTATTCGTCTCTCCCTCTCCTTTCTCATCTTTTTAGGCGTCGCTCACACACACGTTCACACGCGCCCCCACAGGGTCCCTCTGGGGGAGCAAGTTCACCCCTCTCACTCCCTCCTCCGTCCCGTCGGCGTCTAGAGCCCGCGGAGGTTCGGACCCCGCCCGCCCGGGGCGCCTGCACCTGGAGCTGGGTTTCGGCCTCTGCGAAAGTGAAATGCCCGAGCCGCGGCCCAAAGCCCAAAAGGGTACTTTGTGAATTGTCCTAGGAGACTCAGTTTCATTCCGACTTGACCGAACCACTCCCCACTCCCCAGCTTCAAAAACAAAGCGACAGATCTGACGTGGGGTCCCTGAGCCCCTCCCCATGCGCGACAGGAGCCCCCAGAGAAGCACCGGTACCCATGGGATGTCACCCGGTGCCCCGTCTACGGGGGGAGGGGTGGAGGCGAAAAGGGGGTGGAGGACCTGAAAGGAGAAAGATTTAAAATAAAATAATCTAAAGAAGGAAGAGGAGGGAGCGAGTGACACATCGTTCACATAAACCCGGTTTCTGATTTCAAGGGAAGTCAAGACCCCCACCGCTGCGCCCGCACTCAGACCTCTCTGCCTAACATTCCCAGCTCCAAATGCTAAAAAAGAAAAAAATACAGCAAAAGTCGAAACTGTCATCTATTTATTTAGGTAATCTTCTGCTTTCCCCCCAGTCTCTGCCACAGACTCATTTCAGTACGACTGTAGCCGTTCCCAGCGCCTCCTGCGGGCGGACGGGTCGCGCGAGGGCCTCCCTGGCTGCCCTAAGAAGTCGAGCTCTGGCGACTCTGGGTTTTAAAATGGGTTCCAAGGAGGCGCGCTCTATCTGCCCAGCGGGCTCGCGGCACCGAAGGTGGTCTGCAGCCGCGCCAGTATTCCCACGGTGGCTCTGGGCGGGTGCAGGGGCTGGTGCTCCGGAACCCAGCCTCCAGCAGGCTGCACGCAGCACACACACACCCCACACACACCCCATGGGGTGCTTGAACCCTGTGGCTCAGAGGTAGAAGCTGCTTAGAACTTCTTGCAAAGCTGGAGCGAGCCCCGCAACCGGAATCAGTACCCCGAAGTTGAACCCGCTTACAGGGAGTTGCAATCCAGCTCAGAGCAAAGTGTGCCGTCCCTTCTCCAAATCCGGGAAGAGAACCTCTTTAGAAAGAAAAGAAGAAGGGAAAGAAAAAATGAATGAATCAATAGAAGAGGGACTAACTAGTAAAGATCAGAAAGGAAGTTGAAGAGGAAAAAGGGTTTTTCTCTTTCCTTTCTCTTTCTGGTGACTTGGGCCCTCACAGTCTAGCTGAAGAGACACGCGGAGTGCACAGGCGCGTGCCAATTGCCAGCAATTGCTTCAAAAACCCTGGCTCGCCTCTACTCCACTCTTAGTCACAGCCAAAATTGATCAGAAAAAGGGGTAAAGTAGGACATGGCTTCGAGGAGGGAAACAAAAGAAGGGAGCGTCTCAACGTTCTCCCTCTGCAGCTTCTCCCCTGCGTTTCTCGGGCGAATCAGAGGGGCAGGCGCTGCTCTGCGGAAAGTTTGTCCCACCCGCGTTTCGCAGCTGGCTACGAGGAGAGGAGGAGGAGAGGGAGGGTCGAGCTCCGAGTCTGCGGCTGCAAGGATGATTGAGCCGGCGCTGCTCTTACCTCGCAGTCCTCGTACTTGATATTATCCGTCAGTTTCCAAAGCATTTTCATGGATCGCCGTGAACCGATAAGTCCCTCTCCGCCTCACACCCAAGTGGAGCTACTCTCTGGGTAAGCGCAAAGAGCCGGCTGCCGGCGGTGAACGCAGGAGGAGGAGGAGGAGAAGGACGAGGAGGAGGAGGAGGAGGAGGAAAAGGAGGAGGAGGGCGAGGAAGAGGAGGAGGGCGAGGAGGAAGAGGAGGGCGAGGAGGAGGAGGGCGAGGAGGAGGAGAGAAGGGAAAGAGCTCCCGTGTGCGCTCGGAGATCTCCCTCTAATGGTAGAAACTTTTCCCTTTTCCAGCTCTTTACCAACAGCCTAATCGCCTCATTAGCATATCAACAATAGTCCAATTGCTCGCCAGTACCACAATCTGCCGCTGGCCCTTCCAATCCAGGTATAAAGGCCTCTCCAAGCCGCGAACTTGCTACTAGAGCGCGCGCCGGCTTGCCAGCTAACGAGACCTTCCCCGAGCTCCTCCGCACGTCCCTGCCCCCGCGCCGCCCCCCACCCTCAGCCCAATTCCGCCCCACTCCCCTTGCTCTCTTTCTCTCCGCTTCCTTTTCGCCAGAAATGCCCTCTGCTTAAGCCCAGCACTGTGCGAGGTCTGAGCGGCCACGCCTGGGGCCCGGCTTCTAGCATTTCTCTCTCTCTTACCCCTGCCGCCACTATCCGAGCTGCCCTTTTGGCCCCGTGCAATTTTATTAGAAATCATTATCCCTCTCGCAATTAAACATAACCACCAAACCAAGACCGGCGAAGTCACTCCAGGATTTTTGCCCAACAAGAGATCGCCTCCGCTCGCGGCAGCCACCCCCTCCGGCCGCAGCGCCTTGGGAGTTTTATTGGCTTTGCGCTTTCCCCCAGGTTGGAGATTCTGCCCAAGGGCTTCGGTCGCTCGGCTGGGGTTTGAGATCCCTTAATTGCGGCGTGTAAAATAAAAGTTGTACCCTAAAGAGGTTACTTGCTCCGGGGGTTAAGTGATTTTCCTCCCGTCTGTGTGAAGCCAGGGCCGACTGACGATTCAACCTGGTGTTCGGGCTAAGGTTTCCTAGGTGAGACGTGGACAAGAATACAGAAGTCCTGTGGAGACGCACAACCACTTTTGGAGTTGAGCCGAAATACAGACGTGTGCGCCTGCAAGTCTAGATACCGCCTCATGCGTGCATCAAAATAAATCACTGGGAACCAACTCTTAGCTGTGTTAATCTGCTCCAGTTTTCCCAAGATTCCGCTTTTTAATTAAAGCAGGAAGAGTTCCTTCATGATTTGGTGATGTTACTAACGCGGGCGCGCTCGCGGCGCAGAGCCTGGCTGACGCGGAACCGGAAGGCCCGGGAGCCACCCCCTCGTCCAGGTTGGCCAGTCCAGGCTCTCCGGCTCCATACAGGGGCCTGCTCGCTCCTTCGGGGCTTTTCCCCCTTTTGTTTGAGCGATTTTTTTAAAATAAGAAAAAAAAAAAAGAGAGATCTAATGTGATACTTTAAAATACAGAGTAATTGATTTTTTCTAACTGAGCTTCCCTCATTTATTCTCCAGAAAAGTTTCCATCGTCCTTTGCTCCTAGTTAAATACTTCAAACTCCCTAAAACACTAGATCTTGCCTCAAATTTGCTCTAGGAAGGACCTCTGATTCACTGGGGCCTGTTTCTCCAGGCTTACCAGATTTCCACAGTGCATCCCTGGAAAGGGATGAAAGATGTTGTAAATCCCAGTGCTCCCTAACAGGTGGAAGGCAGATAGGAGGAGGAAGAAACCCCCTCTCCCCCAACATATACGCTCCACCCAAAGCTGTAGAAGGAAATCTCCCTTTAGAAGACCTCAGCAAATTCCCCAAGCCAAGAAGAGTAGTAGGCCAAAGGCCTTGGAAAAGCTAGGGAGAAGCTAGAGCTGGCAAGGGGCTTCGGAGCTGGAGGGACATCCTCCCTATGCTCTGGGCACTTCCTTTCCCTACCTGAAGGTGAGCACAATCCCTTGGCGGAACCGGGCTCAAGGCTTGGTGCCGCCCTCCGCCCAGAAAATGGTCAATTTCCAGGGCCAGACCCTGGCTGCCTGCCCTGCTGCCGACAGCGCATTGGGTGGAAATCAGAAGCTGAGCCCAGAGCATGGACACCTTCCCAACAGAGGCCACAGTCTGAGTGTGACCTATAGGCCAATTCCAAGGCCTGACAGCATGGGTTTTTAATACACGGTAAGCATCGCCACAGTGTGCTAAGGGAACTCTAAGTTTCACTTTCTTTTCTTCTGTTTTTCCGCTGGTGTTGAAGTCCCTCCAACCCCATCTCAACCCTCCTCTCCTTGTCCTGACTGCCCCTCGCCCAAAAGATCGCTAGCTCCACTTGGGCCAGGGCGGCCAAACTGTTGTTGTATTCCCGCCGAGGGCGCCATTGAGGTGTAGATTGAGACCTGGGAGCTCTGTGCCGCCACCTGCAGTGTGGGCGCTGATGAAAGGCCTGAGTCGCCCCTGGAGCCAGCTAAGCAGCGTTTGTGTGAGCATCTTTACTACGATAAGTCGCTTCATTGCATGTCAATGCTCCGGTCCAGCCAGAACCCCAGGCTAGCAGCGCCAGGCCTGGGGTTAGGGGCTGGAGATCCAGGCCTGACGTGAGGGCGTAGAAAGGGCGCAGAAGAGCATTTGTGTGAGAGAGACGTACACCAAGAGAAAGAGACAGCGAGGGGCCAGAATGACTATTTTTTCCGATTGTCACTGCCCAGTGGGAGCCTGGAGCCCAACAGGCCCAGCCCAGCGGAGCGGATCCGGCCCCTCCGGGGCCCAAATCCGCTGGCCCCACCCAAGATCCAGGCCTCCCGCCACTTGCCCAACTGTGAGCCCGCAGGAGCCAGGCAGGCGGCTCCCTCCTTCCCTCTCCATGCCTCAACCTCCCAGCTTTAAAGTCTCAGTCGGACCCCCTGGAGGCCCAGTCCCAGGCAGAACCTGCAGGCGCCTTTTCACCACCTGGGAATTCTGCCACGAAATTCACCTGGGTTTAAGGAGAAAATCCCAAAGACTGCTACCAAAGGACTCTCCAAACCTTCAGCCTCCACAGAAGAGAGTTAGGAAAGGCCTTGAGCCCGCTGGGTCGGGGAGGGAAAGGTATGGATTCCCAGGATTTGTGTTTGGTGTGGAATTTGCATCCTGAAACCACAAAATTAGTCTAATCTTGGGGATGAAACTGCATTTAGTGAGGTTTAAATGCAAGGAAGGGTATATAAATAGCTCAATTTTAAAAGTGATAAGTACAAGGAAAAAAATCCCCAAATGCAAAACACCTTCCCTTCTCCTACTCCAGGGAGCCTAGTGAAGATGGGACTTCTCTGAACTTTTTACTTTCAATGCCCTAAATCTGAAACAAGAGAAAGGACTGGCCTAGAAGTAACAGGGCCTCGATTTTTCTTTGGGAAGCTCAGGGCATTTGGGTCAAACAGTCCCGCATGCTTTTGGGCACACGGACTCTTGCCCTGACCAGGCCTCCCTTGGCTGGGGCAAAACAGAGCCTGCAATTCCCATTATGCAATTGGAGACAGGACAGAGGCTGATACCCTCACCAGCCTGGCCAGAGCTGCCCTGTTTCCCCTAGGGAGAACGCCTGGAAGTTGGAAGGAGAGCGCTGGACAAATGCTTCTGTGGCCGGGGTCGAGTCCGGGGCTCAGGAAGAACAGGACCCAAGCCTAGTGAGCCCTGTGGTGCCTGCGGCCTAGAAGGGCCAAATTTGGCAGGCATTGGTTTTGGCAAATTCGGGACCCCTCAACACCCATCATTCACACATACACCTCGTTCTTAGCCCAAGCAGCGAAAACCTACTTCAGGAAGCAGACTGAGTGGGTAGCTAAACTTTGGGCAAACTCTTTTAAGTATATCCCAAAGGAACATGCCCACCGCCGTGACCTGGCCAACCGGACCCCCTTGCATTCTCCACACACTCTTGGTCCCCAAAGCCTGCAGACACCAAAAGAGACAGGTGCACCGGAACCCCACCCCAACGCGGAATTCAGGGGTCTAGGGCGAGGCCGAAGGCACAGCGAGCAGGGAACCTTCGCCGCCGCGCACCGCAGCCCCAGCCCTGCGCCCTCCCCCTTCTTGAATTAGTCATCCACCCAAGTTTCTACTTGAGGTGGGAGGGGGTGGGGAAAACGGCTGGAGCACAAACCACAAATGACCCCCCCAGGCCACCTGTGGAGCGTGCGCCGGACTTTCCCCGGCGCGGGGCCCCGAAGGCGCCACGCTTTGCCCCCAGCGCACGGCCACTGCCTGCGCTCGTTTTTCCTGTCTCTGTTCTCTCCCGGGAGCTCTCCTGGGAGCTGCCAGATGCGCTTCACCTACGACTCCCCTGCCCTGGGCCACCGCGCTTCCTCCCCTCCACTGTACCCCACCCCCGCCACGTTCGGCCCCCTCCCCCACTCCACCCCCGCCCACCTCAACCCTAGCCAAGGCAAACCCCCATACCTGCCAGTCCCCCATTTTGGCAAGTATGGACATCGCAGCTCGGCGCTCCTGGCGACTGGTCCCCGCCGGGCATGGGCTGGAGGGCTCGGCCAGGCTCGCTCCCTGGAATCGCCTAGGCAAATCGTCCTTTTTTACCTGCTCACCAAAATCTCACCTGGTCATAAAGAGCTGGGTTGCTACCTGCCGACGCATGCGCGCTGGCCCAGGAATTCACTCCGCCAGCTGCAGTCCCAGCACCTCGCGGAGCTGACCTGGGAAGTGATGGATTTATAGCCGCGGCAATCTCGCCATCAGCTCCAGCTTTTCCCGACAGCCCCAACCCGCTTTCCCGGTCAGTCCCTGGCCTGGGAACCGAAGCGGACTGACTGCTGGAGTGTGCTGGGTGCCATGCGAGCGTGAGTGTGTTTTCGCATTCACGTGGTGGGGGCATCCACGTGCTCATCCCACGGCTTCCTCCCCTCGGAACTTTTGGGTTGGGGGAGTCTCCACCGCAGGGTGAGGGTCGGAGGTTGGGGAATTGCAAGACCCAGGCAAGGGACAGACCGACAGTCCCGCGCACCTGGACACATGCAGTGGGGCCGAGTCGTCGTCTCCACATCCCCACCCGCCCACGAGGCTCAGGGAACTGTCAGCCTTAGCGGATCCGAGTCTGCTACCCCCAGGGCTGCTTTGGCGTTGGATTCCAGATGAAGTGTTGCTCAATAGGTGAAGACGTTCATGATTCTGTGTCATCTCTGGTTTTTAGGTATAGTCTCCTCCCACATAGAGAGCAAAACAACCTACACGTATACACACCCTCTCACACTCTCTCACTCATACTCTTAACGCTTCTGTATAAAACTCTGCCCCTTCTTCCCACTTTCCAAATTCACTGCCCTTCCCCTACTCGTCTGGGGCTTCCTAGGTCTTTATCTTTTCCATTAAAAACTTTTAAAGGGAGAATTGGGGCGTTGATGGCTCTGGGATGGGCAACTGAGGTTTGGGTTGGGGTTTGCTTTCCCATGACAGATAAAATCACTCAAGTGATTTCAGCGCTGCTTCTAATTAGAGGGGAGCTTTAAAAGAAGCCACAGGATTTGGGGCTCCCGAGAAGCTCACCTCTTCAGGAGTCACACCTGGCCCAGAGGGAGGCGAGGGCGAGATTCGCCTCAGGCCACACTCACCCGGAGACAGTGCCAGCCCCATTCCGGCGGCCACGAGATCGGATTGTCCTGGGCTTGGGCCCGGGGCGTCGTGGACAGACCCAGTTACCCTCCCAGGCTGCGGTCGCGGGAACTTCAAGATGAACAAAGAGCTGGTTTCAAATCGTCTTCTCTGACATGTCAGGCAAATGTGTGTAAAAGGTCATCTCCTCGCTGCGGAGTACAGAAGACGTGTTTCTGACACCAAAACCTTCCCCTTCTAACCCCAGGCCATGCCCAAGCGGCTTTGCACCTTCCCGGTGTTCCCAGGAGTAGGGTGGTGACGGCTCTTGGTGGAGTCCCCGAATAACTTCAGCATTTTCATCGTCCCTGGGCTGCGGCGCCGTCACCCCCGTACCGATTCTTCGGTTGATTTGAAACTTTCTTGGACCTGCCTAGAACCTTGCTCAACAAGTTTGGGGTTTTTTTTGGCGGAGGAGGGGGAGTGCGTGGGTGGGTTTTTGTTTTGTTTTGGAGAGAATTTAAATAAATTAAATGGCGTTTTTAACACATAAGCGTGTACACTGCACCTTCCCCAGCTTTCTCCAGACTGTCCAAACAGAGC